CTCTCTCTCTCTCTCTCTCTCTCTCTCTCTCTCTCTCTCTCCCCCTCTCTCCCTCTCTCTCTCTCTGTCTCTGTCTCTCTCCCTCTCTCCCTCTCTCCCTTTCTCCCCTGTCTCTTTGGACATGCTATTTAGATGATATGTTGGCCCCAACATTTGCTTCCTTAAAAAAATTCTTGAACCATAGGAGGGGCAGGAATTGATGCTTACATGCTTGTCCTTACAGGTGACTTCTGAGCAGTGTTGGACAGCTAGAATGCTTCTAGGGGGCAGACAGCTCCCCAGAAACTGACAGGGCGGGGAAGGTGGAGTATGCACATGTAACTGTCTTTTAGATTATACCATTGAAATTTAGACTGGGCTGAAGCACTTTGATTTGGAAAAGCTACTTGGTTAAAGGTACTGAACAAATTACTTCTGCTGTTGTAGAAGGGAAGGTTACATGTACACGTTCAGGCTAGTTTCTACTTTCCAGGTAGTGAAATGATCCTCTAAGGTCATTTCTAGCCTAAGTCAGTAATTTTATTTATAGTGATGGGAAACCACTTGTTTCAAAACTCCTTGGTGCTGTCAAAGAATTTTAATTTGCTTTTACACAAGAACATATTTTACTAAAAGGACAGCTGAAAGAACCATATCCATGGTGCTCTTCCTTGAGATATAAGGCTGTTCTTTCCTCTTTGGAGGAATCATTTTAGAATTAAGTGCTTTTTCCTGGATGTCAGTGAAGTGGTTTTGACCCCAGCTTTGTAAAACAGCAGCACACTTTTCTGGAGTGTCTTTTCCTTCCTTTACTGCCCATGGAGCTTATTAAACAAGCAGCTTGAAAACCACGGCAAGTGCCCTTCTTTCCACTCTTCATTCTATCATTCCAGAAGCCCCTGTTGCCACTGTGGACTTGATTAACTCAGAGATGTGCACTTTTGAAAGACTCCTAGTGAACCCTTAAGGTAGAGAATTCTCATAAATACAAGATTCAATTCCCTCAAATGTTGGATCTACATAGGAGTTAGTCCTGTGTAATTTATTTTATGATTTATTTATTTGTTTATTGGCTTCTTCAGAGTGTCTCAGTACGTAGCTCAGCTGTCCGTGAACTTGCTCTGTAACCCAAGCCGGGCTCAAACTCACAGTGATCCTCTGGCCTCAGCCTCCTGCATGCTGAGGTTACGGGCATGCATCACCACACTCGACAATGTTTTATTTTTTCTTGCAAAAGTGTAAGTTCCTTGCAATATAGTCTATGAAATTATTGCCTATATTACTCTCGTTAACTGTGTATAATCAGCAAGCCATTAAAATACAGTATGCTCATTTTACATATATTAATTAAATTAGCAGGATTTTCTTTAAAGTGACCACTGTGAGAGGATAATGAAGGAAGTTCTAGAACAATCCTGAATATAAGATTGTTTGTAAACCTGACATAAAATGTGTTTCCTCTCTTATGAAATATAGGCTATAATATAGAAAATCAGGTAGGAAAGAAAACTAGCTCTTTTTCAAATATTTTCTAACTCTTATGATGAACCAACAAAGTCTACTTACAAGGATACCACTGTTTATATTTTTAATTTTACTGTACATCTTAAACATTTATTAATTCTATAAAGCTCAAAATAGTTTGGAGTATAAGGCTGAATAGGCCATAGGTAAAGATTAAATTCTTACTGAAGGACTAAAACCTTCTAACTAAAGAAAACTGACCTGAAGGTGATGTCATATAGATGGATCCTTTTAATTGTCAGATTTGATGATATGAAAAACATCACATCAAAATAAGCACTAGAATACTAACAAATCTACTCTTTAAGGATCTTTGTCCTCATTCCTTTTAAACACAGAATTCTCTAAAAAAGCCTAACGATTTTCTTCTGAAATTTCCTCTTATATGCTATTACTAATTGATATTAAGTACTGTTTCTTTCCATCTTCTTTGAGGTGTAATTGACAAAATAATAAAGTGTTCATCGCTAACACTTGGGGGGGAGATTTAATAGTTGCAGCCACATTTTAAAACAAACCCCAAGTAGTAAAAAACTAAATCCATGTTTTGTTTTTTATTTTTATGCCAGCCTTTCTTAATTACAGAAATCTCTTTGAATCCTTGTTAAATCTTGTTGCAATCAAGGTTAGTCAGCATTTTTTGAAGAAAATGCGCATTGCTTGGTGCACTTGTGAATTAGGGAAGGGAAACGAAGCTGCTAAAGTTTCAGAGGCAATGGTGTTAAGTACTGGGAAGCCGAGGAAGAGGAGAGAGGTAAGTGTGAGAGTAGGGAGACACGGAGAGAGAAGAGTACAATTTCTCGCTGGTATGTCTTTGAATACTCTCACACCTTTCATTCCTCTTCTTATCCATTTTGGTTCCTCAAGCACAAGGGAGAAACTGCACTCTTTCTCATATTCCTCACGGTCAAATATTCTAATGGTAATGATCTTCCTGTGGGAACACAAGACAAAGGCAAAACACATGGTTGGAGTCACACGCGCATGCGGTAGATGTCCACCAGGCTGGATGTCACTGTGATGTTACGGATGGAGAACTGGCACCACATGGACCTCCTGAAGTATGTAAAAGGGCATCTTGGGTGCTCTCAGCCAGCCCCTGTTAATTCGATGGACCACCGTATCCCTTGCACAAATGCTTCCTGCTCAGATGGATGGTCAAAAGGTGCCCCAAGTCACGACGGCAAATTAGGAAGTCGGCTGCATTGTCACATAGCATGACAAGACAAGTGTACCAACTTTCTGAGAAATAAAGAAAAGTAGTACTGATGTACTGAAAAGTAGTCTAACAGGCTTGGAATGGGCACAGTGGCCGTCATAAGTTGATGTAGCTTCAGCCCCAGCCCACCACACCCTGGCGTGAGAGCTATGCCCTGTTACATAGGTGGAGGGATGCGTGTGTAGTGTCATGTTCTGAAGAGTGCAGGCATCCAGGGTAGCACAGGCCAGCAGAAGCTGTCGGGCTCAGCCCTGGAGCAGCCACCCCACCTTTCTTCTCACTCATCTCCACCAGGCGGGGCTCTCCAATCTCAAGGAAGAAGGTCTTGTTTTTCTCATACTCCTCATCATCAATTACCTTGACTGATATTGTTTTGCTGAAACAGAGAAGAATAGAAATTGACGACCAAGGGGAAGAGGAAAAAAGAAGGAACACAGGAACGCAGAGGAAAGCAAGGTTAACACAGCCTGGACAAACCACAATTGAGAAACGTCAGTACTTTGTGGAGTTTCTGCAAGACTGGGTATCAGATAGGCCTGAAAGATCAGAGAGGTTGCCCAGAGTGCAGCTCCCTTGCTGGGGCCGGAGAATTAATTTAGACAAAGTATTCAGGACTAATACATTTGCCATCATCATTGAGAAGGAAAAGCAGAAAAAACACAGATCACAATCATTAGGAAAGAAAAAAGTTATGTTTTTTAGTACATGTCTTAATCACTGAAGTGTCTGAGTTACGCCCTTTAATTGTCTAAGTTCACTCCTTTAAAACATAACAATAAATTGCAATGAAATGTTAACAGAGGTCATTTTCCTCTCATTGTGCTCTATTACATTTCCCAACACAGTATTTTTATCATGAGATTTTGTTAAAATAATAAATATAGCAAAGCATCATAAAAGTATAAAATCTTTTATCTTACTCTACCCATGGCCTCGAATCTAACTCATTAGGTTCATCAGATTTTCCACCTAGATCAAAACAGGAAGTTGTTCATATTTTACTTGCCTGTCTACAGATGGGCGCTGTGACCTTGAGAGAGCTATTTTGAAAGTGGGGTCACAGTGTCCCGAGTTGGGGAGGGGGAGATTCAGGATATGGTGGCTATTTTCAGCCCTCCCAAAGTCAAGCTTTACTTCTCAGTAAACATGCCATTCACACTGCCTTCAACTCCACTGGCAAACAAGTGCCATTTTCAGTAAGAATCCTTTCTATAATCCATGCCTTAAGGTCCTATGGGTGCGGGTGACTGGAATGTGGGTAGGGAAAATTCTAATGTCATGCAAATCCCAACTTCCAGTAAACTTCCTTCATAACTGAAAGTACATCTATCTGATCTTGATTTTTAATTAGATAAACACTTCAGGAATTATAGCTTACTCAGGGCCTCCCAGAAATGCTGATTTTTCTTTGAAAACAAACAAAACTTTCAGTGACATAGGTCACAGCACTCCTGATGAAAGTGTTTGATAAAATATGCTTTTATAGACTCAAATATTTAATGGCATTAACATTCTTTAATTTGGCGGAGTTTTCTAGATATTCTAGAAGGAAATTGACTTACAGTCTTGTTTTTATTTCATGGGTCAAAGTCATCAAACTTCCTTTAAGTCTATGCATGCTAAAGATCATTGCTTTTTTGTTGTTGTTTTGTTTTTACTGTTAGGAAGAAAGCAGAATTACGACTGCTTTTGGTGCCCTGGATTTCCCAGCTGCTAAAGTTAAGTGTCTGTGCCTTCATTTCTTGACTCAGCAATCTAGAAATGAGATTACATGGTTGGTTCTGTCTTTTGGAAGCCCACACAATGTAGTCTCTTAACGCAGCAAAAGGTATATAATGCTGACAGCCCAATTTCTTACTGTCAAGGAATTGGAGCTCATGAAAGTCTCTCTTCTTTACATCTCAGCTCTGCCCTCAAAGACTAACATGAGAAGAACAACTAGGGGACTAAACATTAGAATGACTTAAGCAAAATGTATTGATTTTAGTGTAGATATTTGCAAAGCTACCAACAGTATGAGAAAGTCCAATTACACATATAGAGTGAATAATTGTCTCCTAATGCTTAGAGTTACTTTCTGACATTTACCTCTTTATTTTGAACATATAGAAATATACCAGCCTGACCTGACTAAACAGGAATATTCAATTGTTTCTCCTCATCTGAAAAAAGTTAAAAAATAGAAGCAGTGTAAGAGGCCAGATATGCATGAGATATGTGTGTGGTTGATGAGTGCACTACTTCAGAACTGAATTTGATGTTAAAATGTCCATCAAAGTTATCCTATAAAAGCCCAGCAAACATCTCTATGTTATCAAAAACTGAGACTTTTCTAATTTATAGTCTTGTAATCTTAAACTTTAGTTATAGGACATCTCTCCCAGTGGCCAGCCTCACCAGACCAAGGGCAGGAAGTATAAGGTGCACCAGGAGATCCACGGTGCTCTCCTCAGCCCAACTTTCATTTTCAAAGCTTTTCCTGGAACATCAAACTGGAACACACCCTTTGTGAGAGCTTCATGCTGCAACATTCCTTCTTGGGTTACTTAACAATCTGACTTTTTATTTCTCCATTTTATAGTCCCAGTACAGTCCACACCTTGTCACATATTTTATGGCACTGTAGAAATCTAGAAAGTACAGGCTGGCTGGCTGGAGTGGCCTTGTTAATGGGATGAGTGTTTGCATAGGATTAGTACCAATTTTATTCCCACAGGTCAACATAAATAGAAACAAATAAATAGAAACAACCCAAAGATGTTTGCATGTTGTCTTCTGAGACTACCAAAGAAGTCAGTCTTTAAATATTGTACTAGCTTATAGGAAATCCTATATGCTGAGTAGCTGAGGTGTATGAGAAATAAGAGCTACACATCCCCATACAATTTACATAACAAAGTATTTTTTTTAAATCACTACAGTATCCTTGCTCACTAGGGTCTCGATCCTCAGAAAATGTTTGAGTATATAACAACTATGGTCACAAAAATGAAAGATGAAGGGAAAGAAGTACATTTGTAGGTGCCTTGTAAAGACATTTAAAATAGATGACATTTGCATAATAGCATATCATTTCAAAATCATTAGTGATTGAATCAATAATGCCCCTGAAAGGAGGAGCCATTATATATTGATCTAGCTTTTCTTGTACAGAAATGCTATTAATAGGAAACATTTCAGTCAATCACAAGTGGCAGGATAACGTCAACCTTTGTTAGGTAGCCCTCTAAATGAAGAGGGGCACAACCAGGGGCATTGTAATGCTCACTTTTGGCGCAAGAACAAAACTATATATTTTTCCTCAAGCAAAGGTGAAATTGACCAATGTCAGTTTGAAAGGAGCTTATCTTTGATGCATCTTCCTTGTATTTTTTTTTTTAATAGGGCCTAATGAATGAAGATCCTGCTGCCACTTCTTCTACCACAAGGGCCGTGACACAAGACAGGGTTCATTTGGTGAAGACTCCAGGAACACAAGCTGAATGTCTTGGGCCCTCCAAGCTCTACAGCGATTATCATCTTGGGGGGAACCTGGAGGTCCTCCAGTCTGCTCTGCTGTCACACCCATCACAAGGACTCCATCTCCCTGACAACAGATCCCTCTTGGCTCTTCCATTTCACCAACGGGAAGTATTCAGGTGGCTCTTATTTCTTTAAATTCACAAGCTAGAACAACAACAAAAGACTGGAACAGCTGGGTAGATGTAGAGCTTAAACTATAACTGCTATGTTACTATTGCACTGATAGGAAAGACATTGGTATCATGAAAATTTCAACTACCATGACTATTATAAAGAAGGTAAAAAAAACTCACTTGATTTTTTATGTAACTACTTAAAGTTAATGATGTAGTACAAAATTACATTTTATAGCTAGGGAGTTACAAATCTTATAAGGTTCACTATTTCTCAATACATATAGCCAAAATTTGTATGATCCAATTTTGATTCCATTTCAAGAGGAAAATAAAGAATTTAGTTAAGAAAGATCTATCTATTTAGTGGAAAAATACAGATCATTCTTTTTCATCTTAGCAGTACCTTTCATGTCATGATGTCAAAGTTAAAGCCATATGGCATTTCTCAGTCTCTCTATAATCTGATAGGTTTCAAAGAACCCAAGCCCTTCAAACAGACTAACAAGGAGGCCCTATCTCTGGAGGTGCCCCAAACTCTGGGGAAGAAAAGACAAGGCTTTATTAGTGGAAGCTGAATGTACAGCTCTCCAAAATTTGTGTTAGTCTCTCATCATTAACCTGAAGTGGTATCTTGGTCTCACTTTTCAGTTTAAGCCTCAATTTGTTCTGTGGTTTCTTTTCCCTGAGACCACTCTTAATATTGAAAAGAGAAGGAAAAAAAAAAGATGAGTTGGAGGATTAATGACAAGACTCTTCTAAATCCTCACACAAAACGATTTTAGTGAGGATTCCTGTAGTTAGATGCTGGGATGGCTTTTTATGGAGTTGTTTTAGAAAGATTCACCTTTCCTTTAGTCCTACTCAAAGGGCAGGGAAATGGTGAACACTTCACATTTCTTGATTCTTGGGGGAGTTTCCTAACAACCCCATAATGATTCTTACTGCTTATAGCTCACAGAGAAACAATGACTCAGTAGCTTCTGAGGTCACAAGATAAGCTCCGATCACTGGTCCCAAGGACCAGGACTTTCCAGTGTGTGCCCCACAGTCTGCTCCCAGCTCCCCTATTTGTTCAACTGTGTAATACTTTTATGATCACTTTCAAGGATTTTTAAATTAATGTAGAAATTGATTATTTTGCCTGTATATTGCAAAAAGACTGAACAAAGACAGAATTTCCATTTTACTTTTGAAAGGACTGCAGCACATATCATATTGCTGGTTGCCTTGAAAGTTAAATCCTGAGGGAAAAGCGGTTTCACTGAAAAGTCTGAGGAACATGTACATAGGTGCTCTGCGAGGCCCTGCTACACTCTGGACTGCCATACATCAATGGAAACTCACAGGCGCTGGTCCTGACCTGTAGAATCAGAATGTAGACTTTCACAAAATCCTCAGCTGACCTCTAGGTGGGTTAAAGTCTGAGATGCACTGATAACAAGTGGGTTCTCACATTAAGTTAAATAATAGAGTAACATGCTAGTGGGAGATGGATTTGTGTTTCAGACAGGGGCGAGTTGCATACTGAACAAGTGGGTGCCTGAGCCCACTCCAGATCAGCGAATTCAAGCACTCCGGCTGTGGAGAGGCCATGTGAGTAAGGTTTATGAGACTTTCAGGATGTGTAGTTAGAGTTGGGACCTGGCTTAGGTACACGGGAATGTGTGGCAGGGTTTTTGAAAGAAATGTATCAAAGAACAAATGGAACTGTGAGCATGTCATGATCACAACCGAACTT